TACAGTAAAGTATTTATGTATTTATTTAGTCTTGTATTATCTGTCTATTTTCTAGAAGTTAAAGTGTTGTGTTCTTAAATTTTTAATACATTTTATTGTAAAAATACTGTATAGAGGAGATACAGTTACATGAGCAAGGTAATGAGTACATTTCCTGTCAAGCATTGTTGCCTCCTCCTTTGTTTTTCCCCTTTCCCCTACCATCCCTTCCTTCCCATCTCCACAACTACACTCCCCCCTGACCCTGTTCTTAAATGTTAATGCAATCACACTTTTAACCCTAAGAAAGTAAAAATAAACGTAATGTTTAAATAAAAAGTTTGTATTTGTAACAGGACAGAAAATAAGAATGCTCTTCATCAATAATAGTCATTTTTCAATAGAAGAAAAGTCAGCATCTGGTATATATTCAGAGTACCTTAGGTTTGCAAGACATCTTTTCAAGAATATTAGAACAGAATTAGGAAAATTCTGTTAGATGTTGGTGGCTCACACATGTAAGCCTAGCTACTCAAGAGGCTGTGATGTAAGGAATATGGTTTGATGTTAGCTGGGACAGAAAAGTCTGTAAGTGTCCATCTCCAGCTAACTAAGGAAAAAGCCAGAATGAAGTCATTGTTCAAATGGCAAAGCTTCACATGTGAGTGAAAAAGCCAGCAAGAAGTACAAGACCATGAGTGAAGGCCCCTGTACTGACATAAAATAAATTTCTGTCAGTGGTTAGCAATGTATGTGAGTATACAGCATGTTTATACCCTTCATACCCTTGGACTTTAGTACTTATTATAACTTATACATTTATAAATAGTTAAGTAATTGTATTTAAGTTTGAAATGTAAATACCAGTCAACTAGACTGATTAATAGATGAATCCATTCAATAACTGAACATACAAAGACAGATAATAATGCTCAGTTGATTTCCTCATTTAAATCACAAGGATGATGATAATAAATACCCACTATCAATGCTGAAAGTTAAAATAACATTTGATGTCCAATAGACACATGAAGAAATGCTCAATTTCTCTGGCCATAAAAGAAAGGCAAATCAAAACATTGAGATTCCACCTCACCCCAGTTAGAATGACCACAAACAAAGCAACCAGCACAACTATGTTTATTATAGCATTATTTACCAAGCTAAGATACGGAACCAACCCAGATGCCCCTCAGAAGATGAATGGAATTCTATGCTTCCATCAGAAAGAATGACTCCATCCCATTTGTTAGGAAATGGAAAGACTTGGAAAAATCATATTAAGTGAAATATGCCAAAGAAATATAGATCCCATGGTGTCCCTCATTTGCAATAATTAGTATATATCTAGGATAGTTTGATCACATGAACAGAAAAGGTCAAAAGCTATATACATATGGACATATAAGATGATGCTAAGTGAAATGAACCCCAGGATATGGACACAAGAGGTCTTTCTTTGTTGTTGTTATTTTAAGTGTACTATGTGGGGTTTTTTTGTTTCCTTTGTATGTTCTTCCCCCTATGGTATATCCCCTGTTGTTATTGATTTTGTTACCCTACATTTTGAATATACATTTGTCTAATTTGGGGAGTGGAAGGGGAATAACAAAATGTTGAAACAAGGACACAGGATGACCAATTTCAACAATGATACCCACAAAACAGTATACTGGAAATGAACTTTACAACTTTGGGGAGGGTGGGGAGGAGTAGCGGGTGGGAGAGGGAAGGAATAGTGGGAGAATAACAAGGGAAGGGGTAGCAATGCTCAACAAGAAATGCACTCATCCATCGCCTTGCTCACATAACTGTGACCCCTCTGTACAGCATCTTTATAATAAAATAAACTTTAAAAAATAGCATTTGAAAAGTGGGTCCATACCACGAAAAGGTTTAGTACTTCATGCAGCCCACAACCCTATTAGATTCAGGCATTGGTTCAGTATGAATTCAATAGCAAGAATTCTGATGCCACAGAATGTCGCTTTATACTCACTATATCAAAGATTCTGCCTGGCTAAAAAAAAACAAGAAGAAAATAAGAATATCTGTTGGTAACAGACGGCATCCATGTGTCAACCCACAGTTAAGATGCAAGTGAACATAGACACATTTGGAGATGTGGATCTCATGATCTTCACCTTCTGAGATCCACATCTCTTAGTTATTTCCTGTCCTTCAATTTGGACAATGACTAGGACTGGGTCTTACTGATAATAGGTGCTGGTATGTGACTATCATAGATTTCCTGCCAGAAGTCCCACTCTAGAGATGACTCTTGATGTCTTGAATATGAAAGTGGCATTGGTAAGGAAGAAGTAAGAAGAAGAACTGACTGTCAACAGACTGTAGTGCAGGAAAGCAGCAGCCAGGAGCAGAGGACAGCATCTAGCTGACAGAACCTGAGTCCTCAGTCCTACAGATGAGTTAGCAAAAGAATACACTAAATTCTGAGAGCAGAGTATCTGAGAGCCTGGATGTAGAATTATTCTCCCAGTCCATACACAAGATTGGAGCACAGCCTAGCTGATTATTTATTCACAGCCAGAGTCTTGGTACCTCTACCAACTTCTTGATTATTGGAAACTGAGAGATGTTTTAACTTGCTGAGTTTGATTTAGTTCATTATAAATCAATACAAAAACAACAGCAACAACAAAAACACCCTAATACAGGATGACCTTCATTGACCTTTATGTCTTGCATGAAGATTCTAAAAGTATATTAAGCACTTAAGCTTTGTTTCCTCTCAGACAAAGGTTGGTATGCATCTGTATCAGTCAGACTTTTCCTCATTAGAGAAAATATATCTGTCATTAAAAAAAAAAGAAAAAAACAAGAACAACTTACAGCAGGAATCATGGTAGCCCTAGCCTTCTGATGTGTTAGTTCTTGGGTATGTTCATTCTGGGCCTGAGTTAAGGCAGAATACCATGGTTGTGGGAGGAAGTGGTAGCTCATGGCAGAAAGCAAAGTGGGCGAAAGAAACAGAATTTCATTTCACATGGACAGCTACATAAGCACAACCTATCTAATGTTTCCTGTTAGTATACCTAGAAATCTTCACTACCTAGATACATTATTGGAAATCAAATAAAGTTGCTGCATTGATGCATGACAACAGTTAGTTCTGTATTATGAAATACCACCTTTTGACTATTTATGGTCAATAAACTTTCTAGTATTTACAAAGTGGCTTAGGTCGCAAAAAGGGCATTGAATTAGCAGTCCTCATGTGACAGTTAACATGTCATTTCTTTCCTCCAGCAGTCAGACTTGACGCCTGTAGCCCAGACACAACAAAGTTGAATGTACTATGAGGACGAATAACCCAATTTCCGCGAATACATGTCTCTCACTGACATGCTCCAAGGGTGATTATAAAAACTGGAATTGTATTATGTGAATTAGGGAAGGGATCAAGGATTGGAATCGGTTAAAGCTGAAAATTTTTTATTTAAATAAATAGATAAATATCGGATATTTCTGTCAGCCCAAAGAGTAGTTGAACTGCCTCTTACTTCCTATCCTCTGATGTCACTAAGGATTTCCCTTGCTTCTCTCCTGTTCTATTGCGCTCACAGGGAGACCTGGCAGTGCCAGTGTTTGGGAAAAGTGGTTTCTATAACAGAAATATATTGTGCCTTGGCTCTTTGAGCCCTATCAACTCCAAGCTGATTACACTCAATCACTGTTTTCTCTTTCAATAACAAGTATGTTTAGTGCTTTTTGGTGTGTTGGGAGGCACTCTGAAGGGTGAAATAAATTACTATTATTATTTTCATTGATCCTTGTACTCTGAGTTATGAATTGTCCTAAATATTCCATTGTTACAGTAGTCTACTTTTCTAAAAGAAAAATACCATGTCAAGTCATGGATAAATAGCAGACTAAGTAAGTAGTAATAACTTAATAGCTAAAAATACCAATAAAAACTATTCAAGGCCAGGATAAAGTTCTTCACATGGAACAAATAAGAAGAATGATTCCTTCAACTAAGAATAATTAAATATTAGTATTGTTTTCTCCCCTATATGAAGTGAAACCATGAAATTTTTAAAAAAGTGGATTTCTGCTACAGATGATTCTGTTCCCCCAAAATAGATATTTTTGCAAACAATAATAACCTATATAATATCTGTTGGAGATGAGCCCTTAAGGGAGGGGATTATGTCAAGAGTTTGCAACCCCAAATCAGGATTAGTGCCCTTTGTATTAGAGGAAAGATAGAATTTGTTTTGATATTAGCATCTTTCATAGAAGAGAAAAGAAGTAGAACTTGCTCTCTCTCCTTCTATTCTCTCTCTCTCCCTTTCTCTCTCTCTCTCTCTTTCTCTCTCTCTTTCACTGCTTTCCATATGAGGGTAGATTAAGGATATAATACACGGTCTCCACTATCACAGATATGAATGACAGAATCACCAGTTTCTAAATCTCTAGGTGATTCCATCTTCAGCTTCCGAGCCTCATGATCTGTGAAAAATTGTTTCTTGTTAAAGCAACCAAGTTACAATAATTTGTTAGTGGAGCACAAACCTAAGGAGAGAAATTCCTTTAGAAAAACAAAAGGAAAGCAAAAAGAGAATGATTTACAATATACACAGTTTATTTTCTGTTTCCTAATTAAATGTACACAGTAAAAAATAATTAAATCTTGTATAAGTTGTTACATAAGTTAAATCTACAAAATACTGAAGAAAACCCCATGTATAATTTACAATTGCATGGAATTTCACTTAATTTAAATAACACATTTTAATTACATTCTAGTTACATATTTGTTTAAAGACTAACTGCTATTATAAGTATAAATGTCATTATTCGGATCTCAATATATTTAACAGTTGAAACTTGGCCATATTATTATAATAAAATCAAAGTACTAGTGATGTACTTAGTTCTATAATTTTAGATAATTACTATGAAAGCTTTAGAGAACATTTGAAGACAATGGCAAGGGAAACATAATTCAGATCCAGTTTTCATTTCTCCTCAAGAAATCCAACCAAAAGTGAGTTTCATGACCAACTGATTTGTATTGGTTCATCCAGAGTAACATTATGATTTCTTAGGTTGATATCTAATATCTAAAAAAGAATAAAATCACAATTAATTATATAACCATAACCACACTTTTTTAACCAAAGATGATTTCTATTTTACAAATTATGTAATCGAGATATTTCTTTATTTGATAGCCTTTTATTCAAAAGTAGAATGGATGTTAAATGACATGGAAAACCCAAGATTATTAACCAATTGTCAATATCAATGACATTATTATTTCCACATAATTGGTAAACATGAGGTAGAGTGGTCCTACAACATCCTCTCTACTTCTCTCCTTTACATTTTTCCAACTGCTCAAACCCAAAATATGGATTATAAAATATATCTTCCTTTACTTTGATCCAAGGGGATTTTAGAAGCTTATTTGATTGCCAATGATTGCACTTTGCACATGTTAACAGTAGTTTACAGAGATTTTATTGTATTGGCATGTATTAGTTGGCTTAAGGGGACTTAGTGTGATAGTTCAAACATAAAATATACCACAACCTAAATCAACTGCCATCTCCGTATCTTTTCCTCATTTGCTGAGTTCCCTTCTTAAAACTGTGTCAATAGGTTTTGTTGTTCTCTTGTCATTCATGATTACCAAGTAATCATTGATTGACCATCATTGACCACATACATGATTGACCACATCCACTCTTTGCAACTTCTCTATTGGCTCTCCTACTAAGCTGGCATCCCTCCCAACAACTCAGCCTGCTTTTAATGTCATTCATTGTGTTTTTTTAAATTTTTATTTCATTTTATTTCCTATATTTATTTCTCAAAATGTTTTCAATATGGTATTTCACACATGCATATATTATAATTTTGTTAAACGGTCTTCTATTGCTTTCTCTTCCCTCATTTCTCTTCCCCCTATTAACTTCAGTGGGTTTGTTATGCCATCTTCATACAGAAGCACAAACTATTTTAATATTGCCTATACATTTCTTTCATTGGAAATATTTCCAATTGACCATATAAGGCATATAATGAAGATAATCAATAAAGTAGCTGTAGCTGTAGGCAGTCATCTCTAATAATTTTATGATTTAGTAAGATCACACATAATTACTAATTTTTCTTTAGCACATTCTGTGCCTTTGCTCAGAAAGTCTGTATTTAATGATCAACTATGTAAAGAAGAGGAAGCGAAAAGTATCAACATTTTAATGCCTGTTACACATCATGCTCTCCTAAGCGTTTTATGAGATCAGATTTTCACCGTGGACACAGCCAATCTGACCCAAATTGACACATTTACTATTAATACAGGTGTTAAAAATGAATCTTAAAATTTGTCTAACATGCTTGAGAAGTGGACATGGATGTGTTGAACGGTGTCCTTTTAACAATGTCCATCACTTACCTTGGTGGTTGTATTATGACTAAAGGGAAGTGCCTCAATATTGTCATTGCGTCTCAAAGAAACCTCATGGATAGCAGTGCTCCCTTCTCCCCACACTGCGATATTTCCAAGCCTAGTTTCATCTCTGTTTCTGTAACCATTTTTCAATATGGTGGTCGTTAAAGTGGTCTACAAAGGTGAAGAAAAAAATAAATAATTTAAAAAACTCTTTCATTGTAGAACAAAAATTAATTGTTTTGGAAAACTTTATCTGCTAAATATCATCTATTACATAGTCCAGGAAACCATGCACTTGAATTAAGTATGTTCCATAATAAATATTGAATAAAAATTTACACATACTTTAACAGAATGGTTTATAAGTAATCTGAGATACCTTGTTTAAATTAAATTCCACCAGTAAATACATGTCTCTTTCATAGGTATCTGTAGAAAAATAAAAAAAAAGAGATGGATTCTTATTTTCAAAGGACAATAATATCAGTGTAAATGACTTTAGTTTCCAAGGAAAATTTTCTTGATGCATTTCTGATTAAAATAAAAATGATAAAAAGTCATCTATGTCTCAATCTACCTAAAGTTCATTGTTGACATAATAATCCCATAAGTGACATTAATTAAATAATTCTATTTGACAGAGTTAAAGTATTTTATCAAAGCTATACCATGATTTAATATAACTCAGTGTTCAAAAGAGAAAAGTCTCAAAATAAAAGGTCAAAAGTAAAAATCTAATTACTCATAAGGTCTGTAAACAATCCCAGTTTTTCTTGATTTCTAACATATTCATATACAAATATCATAGTGGATAGAGAAAGAATAGTAGTTAAGTGAATGAATAAAACATGAAAACAACATGGAAAAGCCAATACATTTTAACTCCTCTTTGACCTATAAATATAGCACTGTACTCATTAATTACTGAAAAATATTTTGCTGTGAAATGTTTGGTAATAACACTGATACTCTGCCAAGTTTCCTGCAGAGTAAAGTGTAAACAAATAATAAGATATGTAAGTGTTAATGTGCCATACATATTTTAGTCTTAACATGTAAATATAAAATAGTAGCCTAATTTAGTCATTTTAAGCACAGAACTAGGTTAAAAAATAGGGATAGATTATTAGGAAAATGTGGGTATTTTGCTTACATAAGAGAACAAGAATGCATATGACCTTTGTGAATGGCATATATTAAATTGTTTCTTTAGGATAAATAGGACAGGTTGACATTTTATGTGGTTATAACTTTGTGAAGCTACAACAGCCAAAGTTTTAAAATAACTTCATTTGTGTGTTCCTTTGATATTTTTGAGAAGGAAAATAATAGTCTACAACAGATTTGATATGTGTTTGTTTAAGACAGGTGGATGTTTAGCAGCTGATTGCAGTAGAAAGCCAACACAGTAACCACAGAAAACTATTTGTGCTGTATTAAGGTTTATATCCAGTCAAGAAATTCCCAGAGCATTATTTGAAAACCTTATACTTAATTATATTAAATATACTGACACTGTGAAATATAACCCAAAAAAATCATTGTAATTGCCCAGAACAAATGTATGTTTTCATGAGGAGATCATAAATAAATATATGACTTTGCTATTACTTTCCAGACTCAGCCCTGGGAACTGAATCAGATAAAGGCCATACAGTCTGCTTGTAGCCTGATATTTTTTTAATGAGGAAAAAAATATTTCTGAAAGAAACACTCCCTACTTATACATTATAAAGCATTAAGTAGGTTAAATTATGATATTCAATATCTCAAAATTATTGCTAATAATTTTAATTGTTAATAATAATCCCAAAATATTGTTACATTATGATATTCAATCATTCCAAAAAACGTGAATCATGTGAATCATACAAAATGTGAATCTCTCAAGTTTTACATTCCTGGGAAATTGTGGAGCAAATGGAAAAGAAATACTGGAAACTGTGAAGAATTTCATTATTGTGTTAATCACCATCGAGGGCCTGAGGAAGAAGATTGATTTCCACACTTACTACATGAAAATGTTAGGAGAAAGATTTATTTTTCCCTCAATTAGATGCTTCTCATTAGCATAGCATTATTTTATCAACCATAATATATTTACTAACAGACTTATTTCTTATGGTGGCAAAACACTTAATTTGACCTGAAGATACACACACACACACACACACACACACACACATGCATTGTGACCTCTTCCTCTTCCTTGTACATTCCTAGGAAATATTTTATTTACACACAGTAACCAACACTGAAAAGCAAGAAAGAAGACAAAACCTCCACTCATGTCAGTAAATAGAAGCAATATGAAAAAAAGATACATACACATGTTGCTGTAAGAAAAATCTATTATATATTATATATAATCTACTCTATAATTAGATGTACTCTATACTACAATATAGAGTAAATATAATCCATTATTATATACATAATTTACTATATGTATTATATATAATTTATATTTCAGAAAACTAGTCCAAGAGATCTTCAATTTCTTTCTTTTTGGGGGGAGGAGGGTGGTCTGGTTGTGACATCTGAACTCTGGGCCTGGGTGCTGTCCCTCAGCTCTTCAGCTCAAGGCTAGCGCTCTACCACTTGAGACACACAGCACCACTTTCGGCTTTTTTAATTTTTTCTTATGTGGTGCTGAGGAATCGAACCCAGGGCCTCATGCATGCAAGGCAAGTGCTCTACCACTGAGCCACCTTCCCAGCCCTAAGATCTTCAATTTCTTACAGATGTTAGTTCATATTAAAAAGTTTTGTGTAAGCTGAGCATTGGTGGCTTGTACATGTATCGCTGATCAAGAGGCTGAGATTTAAGGATTGTTGTTTGAAGTCAGCCTGGGCATAAAAGTCCATGAGATTCATCTCCAATGAACCACCAAAATGTCAGAAGTGGAGCTGTGGTTCAAGTTGTAAATCACTATACCACAAAAGCTCAGGGACAGGGCCCCCACCCTAAGTTCAAGTCCCAGGAATGCCACATCCCCCTCAAAAAAAAGTGACAGCTTTACTGACTAGAGTATTAATACTAGTGGTCAGCAAACTTTTAACTCTCCATGATACCAAAGGACAGGTAGCGGCAGCCTCATAGCTCAAAGTTTAGCTGTCCTGGATCCTCTTCAGGTACAGTCATAATTGAAGTAAGCATAGATGCATGTGTAATGATATATCTTAATACTGAATATTTTTAATAAACCAAACAAAGAAGTGAAACTAATCCACAATGTACAGAGGCCTAACTCAAAATCAGGTCTTTTGGTTTTGTACTTTCTTTGCTCAAGGGACACCTGGGGCATGTAGTTTTTGCTTGTCTTTAGCACTGAATGTATCTTGCTAAGCATTTTGAGCTGATACAGCTAAATGTGTTCTATTCTGCTGTGGGTGACCCTTGCCAGGAAACTCTTACATTATTTAAAATGTAATGTATTTAAAATGTATTTAAAAATGAGATGGGAGTTTTTAAATATCGGAATCATTGTGTAACTTGAAACAATTAATAAGTAGGCTCTTTTAGCTTTCTGCTCAGACTCTAGTATATACTACCAGCTAATGTAAACAGTTTGAAGGATTATCTAGGTTAATGATTAGATTTATCTGCTAGTTTGAGCACTCACTGATAGTGTCGCCATCATCCCAAAACAGAGAACCTCCTGCCATCTGATTGTCATCTGCTGCCACGATGAGCTTCATGTAGTTTTTTCGACTATAAGAAAGAAATAGATAATTTCCTGTACATTTGTGGAATGGTATTTTTGCATATGACATCTGTGCATGAATCCAATGTCATACAAATATAAATACCAATTAATTAGAACACAAATATTTACACAAAAATCAAGACATACATCTTTTCTTAAATGAATTGGTAACACCTAAATCCGTAAAATCAATTTCTTCCTCCTCCCTTTCTTTCCTTTTTTTTTAAATTTTTTTTCCAGTCCTAAACTCAGGGCTTGGGTGCTATACCTGATTCTCTTTGTGCTCAAAGCTAACACTCTACCATTTGAGCCAAAGATCTACTTCCAGCTTTTTCTGCGTGGTTTATTGGAGATAAGATTGTCATGGACTTTCCTGCCCCAGCTGGCTTGACCTTCAATCCACAGGTCTCAGCCTCCTGAGTGGCTAAGATCAGAGGTGTGAGCCACTTGTGCTCAGCTAAAATTCATAATTTTTCATACATAGTACCATGAATGTCTTTTAAAATTGAAGAGTATTGAAGTGTCCTCATCTATATTATTACAACTTATATCATGGCATTTCTATATGACAACTTATATGATGGCATGTATATTATGACAACTTATATCATAGTATTTATATTATGACAACTTATGGCATTTATATTATGGCATGTATATTAGGGCAGTTTGGTGTGACAGCCTCAAATTCCCAAAGAAGAATTTCTCAAACCAACAATGTTTTATTCTCTGCCTTCTCCAATCACAAATGGTAAAGGACTGGTTGTCATGGATGTTTGAAAGTACCCAGAATCAGAAACTACAAGTTTCTTCAAAAACAAGATATTAACCTGTCACCATGACTGTATATATTTGTTAATATCCACTGGGTAAAAGAGAACTCTATCATTGTATCAAGAGAGACTCATGAAAAAACTGGTTTAATCCACAATTTTCCAACACTAACTACATTTTTAGATGAAAAATTTTCACAATTTGTATTGTTTTATATATATATATATATATATATATATATAATGTGGCTATATATATATATCTCTATATGTACATCTATATATATATATCTCTATATGTGGCTATATATATATATCTCTATATGATAGATATAAACATTTACATGTATATCTATATGTAAATGTTTATATCTATCAATTTCTAAATCTAGATAGATATCTATATATCTATAGAGAGACCTATCTCTCTCTATAGATATCTAGACATCGATAAATCTAGATCTACCTATAGATCTTTAAATAGATCTAGATCTAAATAGATCTAGAGACAGCTATAAATAGCTATAGCAAGCTAGCTAGCTATATCCACAACCAATGCTGCACATGTCAATTTCTCCCTTCACACACACAAACACAGACAGACAGAGAAGGATAGGGAGAGGGAGAAGGAGAGGAAAACTGTCCTATAGGAGGTTATAATAGATCCTACAGGTCATCATCATTATCTAAACCTAAAACATGTAAGACAACATGAGTGGACACTTGTGAATGCTGAACTTGGGCTACTGAGGTAAGTTCATGCTGGCTCATCATTGTCAGACATTTTCAGCTGTGACAATGGGCGTTCCATAGAAAACTCTGCCTTTCTCTCCTGTTGCTGAAATGTGAAGCTATTCTATTTTAAATGTCTTATAAAAAATAAAGCAACAATTTATTCCACATATCAGAGGGAGGACTAAAAACAGATCACCTAGCCAAGTACGCCACTGAGAAGACACAATATTAGCTTGTCAATTCTTCTTCACGTTATTACATAGGCTCTCAAGTCTGAATTTGTATTTCACTCCGGGAAGCTGTCTTCCTTTACAAAAGGAAATTTCATCGGAAGCCAATTTCCTCAGGATCTCTTGAATTGCCACATATTCCCACCTACTGAGGTGCTGAAGTTATTTTCCAGAACTTTTTTTTTGAGGCTTAAAAAAAAATTAAAGAGTACTGGAGGAGAAGATTGGATTTTTACAAATATATCTCTGTTGGCTTATTTTTTGTTCTCCTGTATAATAAAGTCTCTTCCCCAGGTGGTTTGTTTACAGTTTATTATAAACTATCTAGTTCCCTGACATGTGGGGCTCCTTAGTTAGGCCACAAACCTGCTACATGCACAGTACAGCACCTGCCTGGGTGCCCTGAGGTCCTTCCAGGGGACTGCCACCAACACTGATGTTCTTCTGCTTCAGGGGACTGCCACTAACAATGATGCTCTTGTGCTTGCTGTGCTGCCTAGGAGGTTGTTCTATTCATCTGCGTCCACACAGGTGATTGTGTGACAGAATAAGGTGCTTGAGAGTCAAGTACATACTCAGACCCTATTAACTAGCTTGAAAGTCATGAAAATATTAAAGGCCTCCTTCATTCTGTCATCTCTGCACTCTACATTGCAAAGTTGAATCAGAGCCCTGGAAAGAGTGTCGCTCACCTATGAAATGTGTTCCGAGCTGGCTCTTGGCATGGCAGGATGTAGCCACCTCGCACATGTAGATTTATCATATCAAAAGGAGCTGAAAAAGTATGGTATCCACCTCTGATATTTATCTCCTCGCCCTGGAAATGGATGAAATGGTTAGGAAAACAAGAGAAAGAAGAAATAGAATCATTCACAATGTTGGTAATTGAGGGGGAACTTTTTAAATTTATTTTTTTATTGTGAAGATACTGTTCAGAGGGATTATAGTTATATGAGTAAGCCAATGATTACATTTCCTATTGAGCATTGTTACCACCCCCTCCTTTGTTTTTCCCCTACCATCTCTTCCCTCCCACCTCCCCAAATCCTCCCTTCCCCCTCCTCACCCCTGAAAGTTGTAAAGTTCGTTTTCAACATAGTGTCTTACACATCTCATTATTACAATGGGTCAACCTGTATCCTTATTGAGAACAACTATAAATCAAATGTTATACATCCGAATCCACGGAACATTCCTCAATACAATAAAGGATCTATATGACAAACCTACAGCCAGCATTATACTCAATGGTGAAAAACTAAAGCCATTTCCTCTTAACTCAGGAACAAGACAAGGATGTCCACTCTCTCCACTTCTCTTCAATCTAGTATTAGAATGCCTAGCTGCAGCAATAAGACAAGATGCAAACATCCAAATAGGATGCAAATAAGGAAAGAAGAAATAAAATTCTCCCTCTTTGCAGATGACATGATCTTGTATTTAAAGAAGCCCATAGATTCCACTACCAAATTACTCAAGCGGATTCAAAACTTTGGCAAAGTAGCAGGGTATAAAATGAATCCCCACGAATCAATGGCTTTTCTGTATGCCAACAATGAGAAAAGTGGGGCTGAAATTAGGAAAGTAATCCATTTGTAATAGCCCCACAAAAAATAAAAAAACCTAGGAATTAACTTAACCAAAGAAGTGAAGGACCTCTATTATGAAAACTTTAAAAACTTGAAAAAGGAAATCAAAAGAGAACTTAGAAAATGGCAAAAACTCCCATGCTCCTGGATTAGAAAGATTAACATCATGAAAATGGCAATACTTCCCAAGGATATCTACAAATTCAATGTGATACCTATCAAAATTTCAACCTCATTCTTCAAGGAAATAGAAGAGGCAATCCAAAAATTCATATGGAACAATAAAAAAACCTCAAATTGCATAAATGCTCCTCAACAGAAAGAACACTGATGGAGGAATATCAATACCAAATTTCTAACTCTACTATAAACAGCTTGGTACTGGCACAAGAACAGACCTCAGGACCAATGGAATTGAATTGAAAACCCAGAAATGAACCTGCAGACCTATAGCCATCTAATCTTCGATAAGGGAGCTAAAAAAATAGAATGGAAGAAAGACAGCCTCTTCAGTAAATGGTGCTGGCAAAATTGGTTAACAACTTGTAGAAAACTAAAGCTAGCTCCTTATATATCACCCTGCACCAGAATCAACTCCAAATGGATCAAAGACCTCGGAGTCAAAACAGACACTCTGAAAACATTATAGAATGGAATACGAGAAACTCTAGGTCTCCTTGGCACAGGCCGAAAATTTCTTAACAGAGACCAGGAAACACAACAAATCAAAGAAAGGTTGGACAAATGAGATTGCATGAAGTTGCAGAGCTTCTGCA